TATTACCCAATCCTACACTCCATCTCTAGCATGCTTAATTAGAAGGTCAAGAGTCCTTCTCTCCCCCTCATTTCGGCTGCACCAAGACCCCCTCCTTCTTCCTTATTCTTTCCTCCCTTAAACCACCATTGATAACAGCTCCACCAAGCTCGAACCACCCCCCAAATCAGCAAGATACTTCTCAAACCAACAATGAGAATTCCCTATCTCACCCTTGCTCTTGAATTCTCCAAGAACACTATAAATACATGGTGCCCCTTCACTAATGAAAACACTTCTCACCTTGAAATCTATACCGTGTCCTTCCATATCAAGGTAGCTTGGCTGAATCTTCAAGCTTGAAGAAGGTAAGAAGCTGCCATTCCAAGTTCTTCCACCTCTTCTTTCTTCTTTGTTCTTCCCCTTCTAACTTTCGGTTTTTCTTTGAAGGTTCCCAAGAACCTTTCCCCTTTTCATCTAGCCTTTTATTTCCTTTCTGTTTTGAGGTAAGGAATCGAAATCCTTGCTGCAAATGGAGGTATCAAGTATTAAGAACAAAACTTCGAAATTAATTAAAAGACACCCCTAATTCTTATTTGTGTTGTTCTTGCATTTAATTGTTTCTTGTTGTTAATCCGTATGATTTATGTTATTGCATGTATGATCAGATGTCTTAAATGGTAGATTTGAGTTGATTTCTTTCAAAGAAATTTCAGTTATTTCGAAAATGATGAAGAAATTAAATTGGGAAAAAGTTTTGGGGTTGCATGTGTAAATCTGCATATTTTCGGGCCAGATCTGTAATTTGTGAGAAGTCAGATTCATATGAGTTTTCAAAACTGGTTTTTAGCATTTATTAAACGGAAATTTCAGATTGAGGAAATTTCTAAGAAAAAGGGTAATTTTTGAACTCCTAGTGGTCTTGCATGTATGGATCTAAAAGTTTTGTGGTGGAAAATGGAATTTTCAAAGTTGTTGCATAGATTAAAATCTGGACTTCATTTTCTGCATATTTTGAGTAAAGATTTCGGATTTTAGGGGTTTTTCATGAAAAATTGGATTTTGAAATGTTAGTGTTGTTGCATGTGGAAATTGGAAGAGTTTTGGGGTAAATCTGTAATTTTCGAGAGATTAGTTTCAATTGGAGTTCCAAGTCTGTTTTCCAGCATTTAGTAAAGGGTAATATTCGGTTTTTAAAAGGTCTTACTAGAAAATGGAATTTGTGCATTTTTAGAGGTCTTGCATGTGTAGATCTAGAGAAGCTAGGGTGAATTATGTAATTTCCGGAAATTCTGCATCAAATCATTTCTAACTGAGTTTTCTGCATTAAATTGAATTTCCACCAAGTTAAGGGTTGATTTTCGTGAAAGTATGGATTTTTGAACTTTAGATCATATTGCATGTGTGAGTCTTAAACTTTGGGGGCAGAACTGTAATTTTCAGAAGTTCAGGGTTGTTGTGCTGAATACCCGAAACCTCCTAAACTAGCATGTTTTCCCTTAATCCTAGAGTCAATTAGTAATAAGATTTGGAATCAAGTAGCTTAGGGAAATATAGAAGATGGATTGGTCTTGAATGGTTTGTGTGTTATTTTTGGGTAAGTATGCTTAATGTGCTTTTCGATAAAGGCCAAGCTTATGTGAAATATGTGTTTATTTGTCACTTGATTGATATTTGTGATGTTCTAAATTATTATGGGTGATTATGAATTATTGTCATTCTTTAGGTACTCAAAGGAGATTTCCAATAATTCGACTATGCCATTTTTGATATTAAACGAAATAATTTGGGGAATTAATGAAATACTTAGAAAGGATGAGAATGGATACGGGGGGCCGGTATTCCAACCATAGATACTACAGATGAGTGGTTTGATTCCACTAAAACGGGCTCAGAATAATCTTCTTGTTTTCTAAGTACAAAAGTTAATTTCTCATCGGATCCGATAAAACGAAGATTCTTTATGTTTCTATAGTTAATGAGTTGTATGTCGTAGAAATGTAAATTGTGTTAAATGTTGTTGTGCTTGTGCTATTATGATATAGTATATGTAGTATGACAATATTTTAAATTCTCGGTATCTTTCGATAACCTTACTGAGCTTTGTTAGCTCATATAGATATTCTCCGTTTGCAGGTACTAGTACTACTCACTCCACCGGATTGGACTAGTCGACGGTTCGAGAGGCCGATTCCGGGTTTTTGGTTCGCATGGAGGATCTACTTATAATGCTTGTAGTACTATCTTTTGTGTATATTGTTCTTAGAACAATTTCTATTTCCGTAGTAGCCCATGTGTATTATTATCCGTGGTAGAGGAGGCATATTCCTCCGAAGATGGGCCCCTTTTTGTTAAACTATGGTCCATTTATGTAAAATTAATATATTGTTTAATTATGGACTTTAACCTATTATTCTTGTGTTTTATCAAGGTGACACCACTCATAGCCTATATCACCGATTAGTCGGGTAGTTAGACAATCACTCCTCCACCCACTAAATCATTCCGCCGAAAATTCTTCCGAAGCCCACTCCGTCTAAATCCTTAGGTCATGAGATAAATAATACTTCACCAAGCCTCGGAGTCTACTCACCTATTTAAATACCCGTATAATACGTCTAAAGCTTCCGTGCACGGCAAACCCTCTCGGTTTGCTACATAAAATCTAGGGGGTGTCACAGACATGGTATCAGAGCAAAATTTGTAGAAACTCTATACGAGCACCGAACCGGAATTCGAAACCCTCGAAGCGTGAAGACTCGGTCGGTCCGGTAATTATGTGCTTACTTGTGTTTTATATTTCTTTTTCTGTTGATCTAAAGATATTTTGCAACACATACACTAAGACATGACAGGAAGACAATCTCGGAACACCGCCACCACAAATAATCTCCCAGACACCGCTAACGTGATTCTCGGTCTTTCCAACCTTATCCGCGAGCAAGCGCAGAATCATCACGATCAGATTCAACAACTTCTTCAAAGCCGCCAAACGCCATCTACGCCTCAACCAAATCCCCAAAGCCTATATGAACGTTTCCTTCGCATGAAACCCTCTGAATTTCATGGTGATCCCGACCCGGTCGTAGCCGAAGAGTGGATCAAATCCTTGGAGGTGATCTTTGATTACATGCAAATGGATGACCGTGAACGAGTGCACTGTGCCCTCTTTTTACTTCGCAACGAAGCCCGGAACTGGTGGGAAGGAGCGAAGGAAGGTGTTGAACTCGAGAACTTGTCATGGGACGCATTCAAGGTCCAGTTCTTCGAGAAATACTTTTCCAAAGACGTTCGGGCAAACAAACTCAAGGAATTCCTAGAACTCCGCCAAGGAGACCTCACCATGACCGAATACGTTCGGCTATTCGAACGAGGATGCTTGTACGCCCCATTCATCGCCAAAGACGTTGAGGAGAAGAAAAATCATTTCACAAGAGGACTACAACCTGAAATCCGAAGGGACATCCGCATGTCCGACGCCACTACCTTTCGCCAAATGGTGGACAAGGCACTAACCGCCGCTCAAGACGAAAATGAAATTCAACAAGGGAAGCGACCCCAGCCACCCACACCACGACCATGGAAGAAGGCCAATTTTGGAAATCAAAAATTCAAAGGAAAGAAAGTCCAAAGTTCAAACTCTAAGCCAGTAGCACCGACAACCAAGCCAATTTGCTCGAACTGCGGAAAGGCTCACTTTGGAATCTGCGTAAGGGATACCGAATTATGCTTTCGATGCAAGAAGCCCGGCCATAAGGCGAGAGACTGCCCCAACGCTCAAACTCGAGTCCCAGGCCGCGTATTTTCCATGACCCGAGAACAAGTGCATCAAGATCCGACGATGATCGCAGGTACCATTCTTGTTCTTGGAGAACCCGTATATGCTTTGATTGATTCTGGTTCTACACATTCCTTTCTTTCCACCAATGTGTGCGTACGTCTTGGTCTAATACCGACCCAAGTAAGCCATGAATATCGCATCTCTATGCCCTCGGGCGAAGAAATGGTCACCAGCAAGGTAGTAAAGGATTCCCCTATTCAAATTAAATCCCAACCCATGAGGTTCGATCTCATTGTCTTAGCAATCGAGAACTTTGACCTTATAATGGGAATGGATTGGCTGACCAAGTTCAAGGCTCAAATCAACTGCGCTCTGAAAACCGTAAGCTTTTCTCTCCCAAATCACACCCTCCTAGAATTTCAAAGCGACACCAAGACCCAGATTCCCATAATCTCCGCAATCAAAGCCACCAAACTCATCAACAAGGGACATACCGGCTTCCTAGTCGACCTTCTAGAGACTAGCTCAAAACCTCAACCGATAATATCCGAACTTTCCGTTGTTCAAGAATTTCCCGACGTCTTCCCCGATGACCTACCCGGACTACCGCCCGATCGAGAAATTGAGTTCGAAATTCATCTTATACCGGGAACGGAACCAATCTCAAAGGCTCCGTACCGTATGGCTCCGGTGGAACTCAAAGAATTGAAAAATCAAGTCCAAGAATTACTCGATAAGGGGTACATCCGCCCCAGTCACTCCCCATGGGGAGCCCCGGTACTATTCGTTAAGAAGAAAGATGGATCTTTCCGCCTTTGCATCGACTATCGAGAGCTGAATAAGGTGACCATAAAGAATAAATATCCTCTGCCCCGCATCGATGATCTCTTTGACCAACTCCAAGGGTCATCCGTCTTCTCCAAGATCGACCTTCGGTCAGGATACCACCAGCTTAAGATCAAAGGAACTGATATTCCAAAGACTGCCTTCCGAACCCGATACGGCCATTATGAATTTGTAGTAATGCCGTTTGGGTTAACCAACGCACCAGCCGCTTTCATGGACCTTATGAATCGAGTTTTTCATCAGTACCTCGACAAGTTTGTCATCGTCTTTATCGATGATATTCTTATATACTCCAAGACCCAAGAAGAACATACCTCTCAACTGCGAACAGTACTTCAAACACTCCGGGAGCATAAACTCTACGCCAAGTTCAGTAAATGTGAATTTTGGCTATCGCAAGTTACTTTCCTTGGCCACATCATCTCCGCCGAAGGACTTTCCGTCGATCCCAGCAAAATAGAAGCCATCTCAACATGGCCAACTCCAAAGAACGTAAGAGAGATACGAAGCTTCCTCGGTTTGGCCGGATACTATCGCAAATTCGTTCAAGATTTCTCAAAAATCGCATCACCCCTCACTCAACTTACGAAGAAGGGAGTCACCTACCAATGGACCCCAGACCGCGAGGCTAGTTTCCAAGAGCTAAAGAAGCGTTTAACCACCGCTCCAATTCTTTCATTACCCGATGGATCCGGAAGTTTTGTGATTTATAGTGACGCGTCCAAACTCGGACTAGGTGCGGTACTTATGCAAAACGGGAAAGTGATAGCCTACGCGTCCCGACAACTCAAGGAATACGAGAAGAACTACCCAACTCATGACTTAGAGCTCGCAGCAGTAGTCTTTGCACTTAAGATCTGGCGTCACTACCTATACGGAGATAAGTGCACCGTTTACACCGATCACAAAAGCCTGAAGTATTTCTTCACCCAGAAGGAATTAAACATGAGGCAGCGAAGATGGCTAGATCTGGTTAAAGATTACGACTGTGAATTCCTATACCACCCTGGGAAGGCGAATGTTGTGGCAGATGCCCTTAGTCGGAAGTCGATAAACGCCCTAGTGGTTGAATCAGAATTTCGAGACCGCGTGAGGACAGCCCAAGATCAAGACCCCCAACTTCAGAAAATTCGCACCAACCTCGAAGCAAACCCCAATTTCCGAATCTCCAAAGACGGTTTTCTCCAATTCCACAACCGCACCTGCATACCCGACAATACCGAAATCAAACGACTCCTCTTAGCCGAGGCACATCAAACCACATATACTTGTCATCCCGGATCAACCAAAATGTACCAAGACTTGAAGAAACTTTATTGGTGGCCGAGAATGAAGGAAGATATAGCCCGATTCGTCGCCCAATGCCTCACCTGCCAGCAGATCAAGACCGAACACCAACGACCCGGAGGATTACTTCAACCAAATTCAATCCCCGAATGGAAATGGGAAGTAATAACGATGGATTTTGTTCAAGGATTTCCAAGAACCCAACGCGGATCCGATTCTATTTGGGTAATTATCGACCGGTTAACCAAATCAGCCCATTTTCTTCCGATCCGCAAGACGTTTAGCCTAGATAAACTCGCAGAACTCTATATGCGAGAAATCGTTCGACTCCATGGGATTCCGACGACTATTATTTCAGATCGAGACCCACGGTTCACCTCAAAATTCTGGAAAAGTTTGCAAGGGACTCTTGGGACCAAATTATCGTTCAGCACGGCCTTTCATCCCCAAACCGATGGCCAGTCAGAACGCACGATTAAAACCCTTGAGGATCTACTTCGAGCCTGTATACTCGACTTTGGAGGCAACTGGGAATCTAGACTACCGTTGATCGAATTTGCATATAATAATAGCTTCCAATCATCAATCGGAATGGCGCCCTACGAAGCACTCTACGGACGGAAGTGCCGATCTCCCCTCTACTGGGACGAAGTTGGAGAGAGAAAACTTCTCGGGCCCGACTTAGTTCAACAAACGGTGAACCTAGTTCGAGGCATCCGAGAAAATATGCGAGTCGCCCAAAACCGACAACAAAGCTACGCTAATAATAGAAGGCGAGATTTGGAATTCGAAGTGGGAGGATTGGTATTCCTAAAGGTAGCTCCTTTTAAAGGAGTTTTGCGATTCGGAAACCGAGGCAAGCTATCTCCGCGATATATCGGTCCATTCGAAATACTCGAAAGAGTAGGCAGTCGCGCCTACCGTCTAGCACTTCCACCTAACCTATCCCGAATCCATAACGTATTCCACGTCTCCATGCTTCGCAAGTACGTCCCCAGCCCCGACCACGTTCTCAAGGCCGAACCTATTGAGCTGAGCCCAAACCTTTCCTACGAAGAAAGACCTCTCCGAATCCTCGACTCCAAAACCAAGACACTCCGAAACCGCGAGATTCATCTAGTCAAGGTGCAGTGGCTCAACCACACACCCGAAGAAGCTACATGGGAACGCGAATCAGAAATGAGAAGTCGCTATCCCGAATTATTCGGGACATGTAACAAATTTTGGGGACAAAATTTTTAAAGGGGGGAAGATTGTAACACCCCACGTGTTCAAAACACGATAATAAAACCCTAGTCACGTAAATGCTAAATTTTACCGATAATGGGGCTATACGTGAATTATCGATATCCAATTATTAGATATCAAATTTATTACGTGACCTTGTGTGCCTATGTGTTTCGGTAATTATGCATGCATATTAGAAAATTACCATAATTTATAATATATATGAATATATATATTTATGTGTGTGCCGTGTATATGTGTGTGTAATTAGGGGTGGATTATTAAATAATTAGAAAATAAATAAATGATTATCCTAAGCCTAGCCTAACCCCTATTAACCCAATCCTACACTCCATCTCTAGCATGCTTAATTAGAAGGTCAAGAGTCCTTCTCTCCCCCTCATTTCGGCTGCACCAAGACCCCCTCCTTCTTCCTTATTCTTTCCTCCCTTAAACCACCATTGATAACAGCTCCACCAAGCTCGAACCACCCCCCAAATCAGCAAGATACTTCTCAAACCAACAATGAGAATTCCCTATCTCACCCTTGCTCTTGAATTCTCCAAGAACACTATAAATACATGGTGCCCCTTCACTAATGAAAACACTTCTCACCTTGAAATCTATACCGTGTCCTTCCATATCAAGGTAGCTTGGCTGAATCTTCAAGCTTGAAGAAGGTAAGAAGCTGCCATTCCAAGTTCTTCCACCTCTTCTTTCTTCTTTGTTCTTCCCCTTCTAACTTTCGGTTTTTCTTTGAAGGTTCCCAAGAACCTTTCCCCTTTTCATCTAGCCTTTTATTTCCTTTCTGTTTTGAGGTAAGGAATCGAAATCCTTGCTGCAAATGGAGGTATCAAGTATTAAGAACAAAACTTCGAAATTAATTAAAAGACACCCCTAATTCTTATTTGTGTTGTTCTTGCATTTAATTGTTTCTTGTTGTTAATCCGTATGATTTATGTTATTGCATGTATGATCAGATGTCTTAAATGGTAGATTTGAGTTGATTTCTTTCAAAGAAATTTCAGTTATTTCGAAAATGATGAAGAAATTAAATTGGGAAAAAGTTTTGGGGTTGCATGTGTAAATCTGCATATTTTCGGGCCAGATCTGTAATTTGTGAGAAGTCAGATTCATATGAGTTTTCAAAACTGGTTTTTAGCATTTATTAAACGGAAATTTCAGATTGAGGAAATTTCTAAGAAAAAGGGTAATTTTTGAACTCCTAGTGGTCTTGCATGTATGGATCTAAAAGTTTTGTGGTGGAAAATGGAATTTTCAAAGTTGTTGCATAGATTAAAATCTGGACTTCATTTTCTGCATATTTTGAGTAAAGATTTCGGATTTTAGGGGTTTTTCATGAAAAAATGGATTTTGAAATGTTAGTGTTGTTGCATGTGGAAATTGGAAGAGTTTTGGGGTAAATCTGTAATTTTCGAGAGATTAGTTTCAATTGGAGTTCCAAGTCTGTTTTCCAGCATTTAGTAAAGGGTAATATTCGGTTTTTAAAAGGTCTTACTAGAAAATGGAATTTGTGCATTTTTAGAGGTCTTGCATGTGTAGATCTAGAGAAGCTAGGGTGAATTATGTAATTTCCGGAAATTCTGCATCAAATCATTTCTAACTGAGTTTTCTGCATTAAATTGAATTTCCACCAAGTTAAGGGTTGATTTTCGTGAAAGTATGGATTTTTGAACTTTAGATCATATTGCATGTGTGAGTCTTAAACTTTGGGGGCAGAACTGTAATTTTCAGAAGTTCAGGGTTGTTGTGCTGAATACCCGAAACCTCCTAAACTAGCATGTTTTCCCTTAATCCTAGAGTCAATTAGTAATAAGATTTGGAATCAAGTAGCTTAGGGAAATATAGAAGATGGATTGG